ACTGCAGCTGTTTCTTAAGCAGCAATGGATCTTAATGAAAGGCTGCTCATAAAATTATTATTGCAGCAGCAAGTAGATGTCCCAACTGATATTAGGCCCCTATTGTGCCAGGCACCGTATGAACACATTAGGAGAGAATAACTTCTCTGCGAGGAATTTAAAACCTCATTAGATAAGACAGAAAGAAGCTGTGCCAGGAATAAGGGTCCCCATGGGGTAAAGGAAAAGGCCCTGGTCACAGGGAAAACACATGCTAGACCCTGGAATAAGACGCTGGGTTCTTGTCACCCAGGCTCCCAGGTAGCCCTAGAGAAGAAAGTTGTTCATATCTGGCAGGTTTATTCTTATTGCTTGAGGCCAAGATTTGAGACTTTTTTTTTTTTTTTTTTTTTTTTTTCCCAAATACAAATTCCGGTCCTGCACAGGGAAAGCCCTGGGCCTGACCTGGGGCACTTTATCACCCTGCACTGGGGTGCAATGGGGAGGCAGCGTGCCCAGACAGTGAAGAGCTGGGCTGTGCACCCAGCAGGTCAGCACCACGTTTAAAGCAGCCATGCCCACGTTATTTGGCACACACCCTCACCCGAGCCCTGCCTTCTTCTAAGCCAATGTCAAATCTTCTTTGGACTTGAAGTTGGAAGGGGCTGAACTCCCAAGATAGTACTTTTCTTGGAGTCTGTTGGCAGCATTGACAATTAGGCAGCTGATGCATTAACATGCCAGAGAGGCTCTGATGTTTATTCATGTGCTGCTCTCGAGGGTTTATTGAATTGATGCCTGGTAAAGCAACTAATGGGAGCCCTTGGCAGGGTACCTTAGATGGATTTCCTTATTATCTCTCTAGATTTTATACTCTCTAGCAAAATCAATATTCAAGCTGGTGCACAATGCAGCCTCTTTTAGCTTCAGGGTTTAAAGATTTATGGGGCATCAGGGAAAACCAATGAAGGCAAAAGGCAATGACAAAAGAAGTAAAATCCAAGTGACAAAATTTGCTACTGAACTAGGGTGGGCAAAGGCAATCATTATGTTTTGAATTTTCTGTCTTTGTTAGGGAACCATTTTTTAATTGATTTCCCCCTGCCCACCTCCCTCCTTTCCTCTCTCCTGCTTTGGTGAGGCTGCATGTTGTCCTTGCACTACAGAAACTGTGATCAGGGCAAAGGAAATGCTGAGCCTTTTACAGGGAGTTACAAGGATTCTGGGTGGCTTGTGCAGGCAAGAGATGCCAGAAGAGCACTAGAGAGCCAGGAGAACCACCACTGTAACATACCTACACCCTAAGCATCTTACCCTTTTCCGTAGCAGATCTGACCTATCTTGCATGGACCTCTGTGAGCCTCAACAGTCCTGTGAAACAGATCCAACGGTTCTACCTATTTCAGTTTTGGAGAGGTGGCATAGGGAGGAAAACAGTCTTTTGCTCAAATACTTTTTTTTTTTTTTTTTTGGTTAGAAGTCCTGCAGTGTCACAGGGCCATTTTTTTCATATTTCAAACTTGCAAACTGCCTAGTGCTAATACCTTTCACAAGTAATGTAGACCCCCCCACCCCAAA